GTTCTTCATTTTTTATTCATCACAAAGTTTATTATTTGTACACGAAAATTAGTAAATAAATCAAAAGTATTAAAAAAAGTTGATTTCCTTCTGGACAAAACAAGTGCAACTCCACAAAATGTTGACCAAGCTGTATTTTGCTATCCATATTTCGTGGCGAATCCTTTGTTGTTGATCACAGCCTTGCATCTTCGAGGCATAGATTCGATCAGATGACTAATGAAACTTTGTGGAGTTGCTGCCCAGGCCTTTTGGATTTGTTCAAACAGTTGATCCTTATTACAAACACTTTCACAATTAACTCTGCAGTTGACGATCTCCACAGGTTCTTGATAGGGTTGAGATCCGGAGATTGAGGCGGCCAATCCATCACCGATATATGGTTGTCTTGAAACCACTGCTTGACTACTTTTGCAGTGTATTTCAGATCGTTGTCTTGCTGAAAAACCCATTTTATTGGCATATTCCATTCAGCATGAGGTAACATAATATCTTTCAGGATATTTTTATACATATAGCAGTTCATTATTCCATCGTTTCGATGTGTTGGACCTAGGCCGTTAGCAGAAAAACACCCTCAGACCATTGCATTGTCTTCACCATGCTTCACGGCCTTATGTAAATTCACGGCAGTAATGTAAATTGAGGCGTTTTCTGGCCAATTGATGTACACGGCAAATGCCATTGCTTCCAATGATGTTGAACTTCGATTCATCACTGAACAGGACAGTTTGCCATTTCTGCACATTCCAGCCAATATAAGATGTAGCAAACAGGAGTCTTTTCTTCTGGTTCTTTAGTGAAATCAGTGGTTTCTTTGCAGGGCAAAGAAGTTCCAATCCAAGACTGTCAGGAGCCATTTTTGCACTTGAAGTCATAAAAATAATAAAAATAAATTATCACGCTTCTTAAGGCTTACTGTGTTACATTTACCTTGTAATGATACAATAATGCTCTGTGGAACACAACGTCTTGGTTGGATGTGAACTGTATTGATGTAATAAAACACTTGTTGTATTTCACTTCTTGTATTGATGTTCTTCTATAAAACACTTTGATAAAACTCACTTCGATAAATTGTCTTGATAATACTGACTGATTGACTTCCATATACTGACTGAATTACATGTCGGTTTACATGTCTCTTATATAGTAAAATGAATCTGTGTGAACATGTTCTGGAAGATTCCAGATGCTTCTTTTCAATGCTTCTGGATGAGTTTGGATGCTACTGGATACTTCCGGATGCTTCTGGATGCTTGCAGATGCTTCTTCTGGAAACTTCTGGAAGCTTCTGCATGCTTCTGGAAACTTCTGGATACTTCCTTTAATTATTAAAAAACTTCCGTGACATTTACACGGACCAGACTTAAGAAAATGAAACAAACCAAATAAGTTGCACTTGTTTTGTCCGCTGCAAAATGGCACTTGTCAACGAAATTCTGCGTGTGTGCTGTCACCAGTCAGCTGATTGCTTATGTCATGGCATGCTATAACTCCAAACTCGTGAACTGTTTGTTGTGGTAGTATAGTTCGTTTTGTTTTTAAGACATGTAAAATTAGGAACACTTTTTAGCATTGTTCGATGTTGGTTGCAAATGTTTTGTCCAATACTGTATATCAATAATATCATTAGCTATAAAATAATACTGTATATCAATAATATCATTAGTTATATAATAATACAAACTTTCCAGAATGGCATTTTTCAAAAGAAGTCTAACTTTTCCAAAGGATTTATTTTTTTTAACCCAGTAAAATAAAATTAGAAATCAATATAAATGTTTTTAATACTGAATTATAGTATTAATTGTGTTATTAATGACTATAAGTTTTCTTCTCTTCTACGCCAATCTTAAATTTTATTTAATAATCTTTAAGTGTTCATTTGTTTATAATAATGTGAAATTTACAGTCTTCTCGATTTGGGAAGGGCGGAAATTTTACATGGTCATAATTTTTTGAAGGTAAAAATTGTTAAATGAAGCTTAAAACCTGTCGATGAATTTAAATTTATTATAATATGTTAAAAAAAATGTTTTTTATTGCCTCACATTTGGGATAGAAATTTTTAGGGGTATTTTTGTTCCTAGGCTCCAATCACCGCGATTTTTTGCAAAACATTTTTATTTGACGAAAGTCTGAATTTACTTAAGTTTGGATATTGCATAATGACTGAAAGTGTCAAATCAAAAACATAAAAAAAACCCTGCTTACGTCACTAACACACAGAAAATACTAAAAAATAAAAGCAATAACAAAAATGTATGCAAAAATTTCAAAAATTCTTTTGCAGCCGGCAAAGTTACGCGTGGTTTCTGTTGCGTATTAAAAAAAACCCTGAAATAAAAAGAATAACGTGTCAAGAATAGGATTTTAATTTCGTGAAATTAACTATTACTATTTACCAAAACACCTATTAGGATATTTATTTTTTATTAATGGTTTCATAGTATAAGGTTTTTTTATAAGTACTAGGTTTTTTTGTTTTTTTTTATATTTCGCTGTTCATATAAAAATAAATAATAAAGTTACAATGAAACTTTTACGTTACACAAAGAATATAAATAAAACAGACAGGGGCTCAAAAAAGATACGAATGACTGGTGTCACCACTATCTTTTTATAGTGCCCCTTTAACAATAACATTTAAATCCCACATGGCTTTAGTAGGTTTACAATTTTCTGAAAAATACTACGTAAAGAATATTCGTTATAAACTCCGTTGCAATATAAACATTAAAATCTTTAGTCCAACAAATTTAAGATAAACATGCTCTAACATATCAAATATTTATAAGAAATATATATATAACATATTGGAGTATATAAACATTCAAATATATGCACATACACACACATACATGCACACATACACATACATACGTGCACACACACACACATACACACACTATATATAGACACATATATGTATGTGTGTATATATATGTGTGCGTACATACATACATATATATATATATATATATATATATATATATATATATATATATATATATATATATATATATATATATATATATATATATATATATATATATACATATATATATATATGTATATATATAAATATATATATATATTTATATATATATATATATATATATATATATATATATATATATATATATATATATATATATATATATATATATATATATATACACATACACACATATACATATATACACATAAACACATACATATACAAACATACTTACATGTATGTCATTGTTGGTATTTGACCGAAAATTGTATTTTTGTAAAAAAGCCGATATAAAAATATCAGAAAATACTTTAGGCAGCAAGCTATTCTTTTATTTAAACATAAATATTGTCATTTTAACCGAAATAAGTTTTGATGTATCTATGACATTCATGTATTTTGTAATAGGGGAATAGTTTTCTAATTTCTTTAAATAGTTAATTACTTTACGTGCGTGGTTTTGAAAGCTCTGTTACCTTATTAATTTAGTTTTGAGTGTGTTAGCCCAAATAATGTTAGCACAAGAGAGATGACAATCAAGAAAACTGAAGTAAAGCATTTTGCGCGATTTTTAATGAAAAAAGGCCCTAGATTTATATAATACACTTATAGCAGAAGATATTTTTGTTTCGATGAGACTAATATAATTTCTCCATAATAGGTTCTCATCAAATATTACTGCCAAAAACCTTGAATGATTTACTCGATTTATTTCATTTTTATTGATTGACAGTTTTGGCAACTTTAACGGAAGATTAGTTGATTGTCTTATTTTATAGAAGAGAGTAAAACTTGTTTTTTCACAATTTAATGATAACTTATTTGCTATAAACCATTGGTTAAAGCTTTCTAGTTCAGTGTTCATTGTTTCGAACTATATTTTTACAACAGAGTTGTTGTAGAATAAATTTGTATCGTCTGTATACATAATAGACGATATTTTATGAGAACCTTTATTCATATCATTATTATATATTAAAAATAATAAAGGTCCTAGGATTGATCCCCGTGGAACTCTGCATACAATATCAAGAGCTCCTAAGTCCTCCAAGACAACACAATGTTTTCTATTAAAACGATAACTTTTCTATTAAAAAGATAACTTTTAATCCACGTATTAATGCCGTAATGCTTTAACTTTGAAAGTAAAATTCCGTAATCAACAGTATCGAATGCCTTAAAGAGATCGATAAAGTAGTGCTTGTTTTCCTTTATCAAAGGACTTAGATATTTTACTGGCAATAATAGTATGTTCAGTAGAACAGTATTTCTGAAATCCAAAGTTGAATTTAGTATAAAAGCGTAGTTAATGTCATGTAATCATAAATTCTATTAAAAATTACCTTTTCAAATATTTTTAAAAAGCAGGGAGTAGTGTTAACTTAAAAAACTGCCCGTGAAATCAACGTGTTTTGGTTTACACAGACAAACACGTGTCTATGCGAGTTTTAATTTCGAAAGTGAAAGTAGATGTGCCGGCAGGGTTATTTACAAAAAAAAGTTGCATTATTTAATACAGATCGCTCCTATCCTTTGATATTTTCTTTAAATTTTTTTTTTATTATTTAATGCGACTGTATTCATTGAAACTTAAGGAGCTTGAAAATAACTCTTTGCTAAAAAATTTTAAAATTAATATATTCTTATATTAATTTGAAAATAGATTCATTGAAACTATTTTGAAACGTAAAAAGCAGTTAAATATATTATTCAAATACTCGGCCTCGGTTGCTCGGTAAGATTCTTTAATTTTTCTGATTCTTAAATTAAAAGGAAGTATTCATATATATAAAACTGGAGATTTAAAGCGGATGGAGGGTGTAAAATAAAATCTGCTCTAGTAAAAATTAAACAAACGTTGATTTGATGAGACGATTTTGCGCGCACGACTACGCAATTTTTTTTGTTGATACTTAACTGGAAACCTTGTTTGACTATAAAATATAAAATTTTGACTTAAAAAAAAGGAAGGTTTAAACGTCAAATATATTCTTAGATATCCGCTGTTGGTTCTGCAGAAGCCATTTTTGAAGAAGTCGTTAAAAGCTTGGAAACGTTTGAAAAGAAAAAAAATATGTCATCTGAACTCGAAGGAAAAAACATTATATTCGTTCTAGGTTCTTGTTATGAATATTTTTTATTATTTACTTTTTTAACATCTTCACATTTATTTGTTACCGACATTATTATTATTACCGACATTTTGATTTAAACGTTTTGGCTTCTATCGATGGCTATTTTCCGCTTGTTTTCTGTTTATCGTTTATAACTGTTTTCCGCTAACTCCATTTGTTGCTTAACATTTTATTGTTATTTTAATATTATTATAGACATGAGAAGTCTAATTCGTTTTAGGTTTTTTATTTTTTTTAACTTTATTTTCATAGCTCCTTTATTTTAACATTTTTAACGACGGTAAACAATACTTAGTTTTAAAGTGTTTTTAAGGACGGTAAGTTAAATTTTAAGTGTTTATAAAGCGACAGTAAGTAAAATTTTTTTTTTTTAAATTCTTCAATCGGTGCATTTTTTTTTTCTGTGAATTTTGCGACGTTTTTTTAGAAATCACAAACAATTTAATATGCTTTTTTTTGAGACACTAATCTCTAATGTTTGCTTAAAACAACAAATAATTCTAGCATTGTTTTAGGTGGTCCTGGAAGTGGCAAAGGAACTCAATGTGCAAAAATTGTTGAAAAATATGGTTTTTGTCATTTATCAACTGGAGATTTACTACGCGAAGAAGTAAAATCTAGTTCAGAAAGATCAGAGCAATTGAAAGCCATCATGGCTCGTGGTGAGCTTGTATCCCAGGTGACCATTTTTTTGTATAATAAGGCATTATCAAAAAGATTAACATTTTTTTACTTTTACAAGATTAGTACACAGATCTGATCTAGTATATTAAATAAAAAGTATATTAAATTAAAGGATGCAAATTTTGTTTTAAACATTAAATATATTTGTATAGGAAACAATATTAGAAATCTTACGTGATGCAATGATTAGAAACAAGGATTCTAAAGGCTTTCTTATTGACGGTTTCCCAAGAGACGTACCGCAAGGGAAATTATTTGAAAAAACGGTAAGTTCTGTTTATTATATTTTATTCAGCATAATTAAAAAAATTTTCTATTATTTATTACTATTTCTTTTTCTATTCAAAAAGGTGGCAAAATGTAAGTGCGTTTTATACTTTGAATGCACCAATGATGTTATGACAGAAAGGCTTTTAGGTAGAGCAGCTACAAGCAATCGAGTTGATGACAATTTGGAAACCATAAAGTTGCGTTTAAAAACATTCGAAGATGCTACTCTGCCAGTTTTAGCAGAATTCAGTGATCGTCTTAAAAAGGTATTTTATAATGTTAAAACCTTTTTTTTTTTCGAACTTTTTAAAATTCATAAGATTGCAATGTTTTTTTCAAACTATTCTGTTCCTTGGTATCCATGTGTTGTATTATTTGTTATAGGTCAATGCGGAGAGATCTGTTGATCAAATATTCTGTGACGTTTGTAGCGTATTGGACGGGTTGTAGTTAGCAATATATATTTTTCAATGACAGGGTGCATTTATGGGGAGCGCGTTTAATAATTCATGTAGATAAAAATAAGCACTTTTATTAAATAATTTTAAAATTATAATAGTATATTTTTCCGGATATTTTTTAAAGCATGTTTTCTGTATAAAATATAAATAAAGTCTTTCAGTAATGTTTATATCAAATTGATATTTTATTTGTTGTTCAATAAGAAGCATAATTACCATGTACATAGTTAACATAATTAGCATACCTACACGCTTTTTAAAATGTTCACACGCATTTGAAAAAAAAACCGTTTAATGAGGAAGTAACGAATGTGTTACAAATATAAAATTTTTTTTTTTCCATGGAAGTAATAATGACTATTCATTTGTATTAAATTTACACAATTTTATGTAAAAAACTTGAAATTAGCATCTAGGATTGTAAATTCGGATAATTTTTGGCTTGCGTTCGAGCTTTTTTTTAACAATTATTTTACCCTCACATTCATATTTTTTTATTGATACGTGTTCTTAAGTTTAATTTAGCAGGATTATGAGCGTTTTCTGAAGACGCTCCATTATTAAAATCATTGGTCTCGTTTGCTTGTTCTCTTTGGTCGTTTGAATCTTTTTCTTCGAATCTATCTCTTTCATCTTCATTTTCATCCTGCTTGAATCCTCTGAACCCTTGCCTACTTTGGTCAATGTTATGGTTTATGTTTCTTTGTTTCATATCATACGGAAATTTGCTGAAATGTTTTGGTGGTAGATCATTAGCATCATCATATTCGTTTCGCTCACTCCCATGACCCACCCAATCAGGCACCGGACGATCTATATACTGACTATGTTTTGGAACTTTGAAGGGGTCTGTAGCGTCTATATCTATGTAACTTCTTTGTTTTGGATCAGAAGCTTTTTTTAAATCTTTTAAGTCATTGTGTATTTTTCTTGGAGACCCTGAATATAAAAGTTTTAACAGAAAACAAATGAACATATTTGTGGAGTGGGTGAATTATAAAAATAAATAAAATTATAAACTCACCGTGTGTTTTTACTAAAAAGATTATCAAAAATATCGCCACGAACGTCTTTTGTGTTCTATAAGTAAATAATAAACACATATCAGCTCTAAATTCAAACAGTTTTTTCTTTTAGTCAAATACCACAACTTGTGTTCTTAATTACAAATTTTACTTAGAACATACAATATTACGTTTTTACCCAGGACATACATTATTAGGTTCTTACCCAAGAGATATATTATTAGGTTCTTTTACCTGCGATAGATTTTGATTTGATTTATCTGCATAAATTGAGAGTTTTTTTAGATAAGCATTTTTGATTTTGCAAATATAATTTTGAAGTTCTATTATAACTCTAATATAAACATGATATATTATCATCTCAACCATGGGAGTCTGCAAGAATTTTTTTAAATTTAAAAAATTATTAATACATTGTTTTAAATGTTGTAAATTAAATTTAACACCTGTCTTTATATTTACCATTTGAAAAGAACAATGGGAGTCCGCAAGATTTTTGATGCTATAGAAAATACTATCAGGTGTTGTGCAAACGTATGTTCATGTTTACATGGATGAAACTTTACATATGTTAAGTTTCAACCAACTCCAAGACAAGGCCGTTTTAAATTTTACAAGACCGTAACTTTCGAGTACTTTTATATCTGAAAGATCAAAAAAAAGTATTTATTAAATCAATTGTTGTTTTTTCAAAAGCTTGTTTTATATTTAATTATGAAAACTACATCATTAATATCATTAATTCCATAGTCTTTAACAAGAATTGGGTACATTTGACATTGCTAAACTTTCAGTTGAAACTAATTAATCCCTCTTTTTAGCTAACACGAGAAACAATTTTTTATTTGTCGAGGTATGCGTTGAGTCAGACGTAATTGTAACAAGCGCAAAAAAAAAAAAAAAAAAAAAAAAAACAACGTGCATGAACAAACATCATGACTCTATAGAGTGATGATGTTTGTTCATGCACGTCAACTCGAATTATAGTACAATAGTTCTACTCTCCTTTTCGAAGTATAGTTAAAAAGATGCGAAATAAAGATAAAAAATAATTTTATTTAAGCCTCAGAGTTTTTAAATTTTAATATAAATATCAAATAAGTAAAATTAGCTAACATAACATTAACTTGATGAAGTTTAATTTCTTGTTTAAGTTTTTTATAGCAGAAAGGTATTACTATCTTTTTAATAATTTTATTGAGTAAAGATCTTTCTTTAAATAGATTTTAAGTTGCTTTGCAATGTACTAAATATTTGAAAAAATTATCCTGATTGGTCGCTTTTAAAGTTATTGTCCTGTACTTCTTTGGAAATGTTCAGCATTATTCAAACTTTAACAACTTCTTTTCGGGGAAAAAAAAAACAGTTTTTCAAATAGCAACTTGTTTTTTTTTTTTTTTTTTTTTTTTGTGCATGTCACAATTACGTCTGAACACAGGTTGATTGCATCTCAAATAAGTATGTCTGTTGTGACGCACTTTTCAAGAGATAAAAAAAATATTTATTTGAGGGTCAAGGTTATTGGGTAAATGCAAAAATGTTTACTAAGTCTAATAATTTATTATTTATCTCAACACTATGATTAAATTACTACATTTTGTAAATATAAAAGATGGTTCATTATACATTTTGTGGTAGCAATGTTAAAGAACAAGCTTTCTGTCGCTTTAGAGTTTTTTTAAACGAAATGTTGATTATACCGAATATAAATCTGTACATTCTGAACAATTATAATGGCTTATTATAAATTCCATGTCTATTGTGTCTATTCATAAACTTGATTTTAATACTTTTTGAGTATTATTTAGATGAGGATTTAGAAATAACCAGAATTTATTGTTTTGAATAGTGTAATTAACGTGTCGAACTGTGTGATTATCGTTTTAAATTGTATACCTATCGTTTTGAGTTGTATGAATTTTTTGTTAAGCATTGTATGGTTGTTTTTTAAATAATATGATTGGAAAAACCAGCAACAGTAAGGCTAATCTTTTTGACAGATGGTAACGCTTAAGCTCCACTTTAGTTATGAATCTTGCGATTAAGTTACTTCTAATGATAAACTAACTTACTCAAGTAGTTTTCGTGCTTACTTAATTGCCATTTTTGGTTCAAAAAAAAAAAAAAAAGCTATACAAAACGCTTAAAACAATGCCAATTAAAGTGCATGGTCTATAATAAGTATTACGGTCAAGTCATTTTCATTTAAACTCGTTTTTACTGAAACTATTATCTAAGTTTTTAAGAATTTTTTACATAACATGTTTGTATTAAAAACTAATATTTTAAAGTCTCATTTTTAACTCTAATTAAGTTAATTAAATACAAAAAAGATAATATATACCTTTGATGCAGCGCCATATTGTTTAATACAATAGATTATTTAAAATCATAACCGGGCTGAAAATGAGCCTCAAGAATCACTGAGCGGAGCAGGTGCGTAATGCACAATATGATCAACGCCGCAAACAAGTTTTAAAACTAGCTACTTGTATTACCCGTTTTATGAAAGGACTTCCAGTGGTTTTAAATTATTTGTGTTGTGGGATAACAAAAATAAATAGATCCTAAACTCTGTCCGTCAATATTCTATAAATAAATGATGTTATTTTTTATTATTATAGTGTATATATTTTTTATTATTATAAAAATATAAATATATACTATTTAAGTTAATTAAATACAATAATAATACTTATTATTATTGAACAATATTTAATTAATAATTGATTATAAATAAATCAAAAATAACAAATAATTAATATTATAGTACTACTTACAACACAGAGCACAATAACATCGTACAATAACATCGTACAATAACATCGTACAATAACATCGTACAATAACATCGTACAATAACATCGTACAATAACATCGTACAATAACATCGTACAATAACATCGTACAATAGTATTTACAAAGGTGTTTTTGAAGAGGCAACCACAATTTATTTTTTAAATGCACTTTTAAAAAAGTTCCATAATGCCTCAACTTATAAGATGTGTACAAGTTTTATATGAGATAAATAAGTATAATCTAAATATATAATACAAGATCTAAATATATAATACAATTTTTTTTTCTTTTTTTTTTTTTGTATAATAACTAAAATTAATATAAAACAAATAGCCAGAGCAAGATGAAGACATATACTGTCTTATCGCCGACCACCGTTTACATTACCGCCGTTAGTTTATTACTATATCAAAAATTAACAATCAAACAAAAGTTAAAAAAAAAAAAAAAGAAATCAAGTAAATTTCAATACAATTCCACGCAGATACTACAAACGCTAAACAGTATGATAAAACATTAAAAATATATAATATAAAATATAAATACCTTAAATTTTTTATTTTAATACGAAATAAAAGACAGGATTTACACAAAAATGAGTAGTGATGGCTTTTTCAGTTTAATTTTTTTTTTCTTGTTTTAAAAGAGATATTCAAATTCAAAATGTTTTTCTAATAAGAAACGTTTACATTCTCTTTTGAAATTTTCTAAAGAAAAACTTGCAAGATTTTTAAAAGTGCAGTTGTTTTCAAAAACTATTTTGTGTCAAGAAAAATATATTGAGTCACTTTGAAGTAGAAAAGTTGAGTAAAGGGGGAATCATTTCATCCCTCGGCTTCGCGAAAATTACGAATTTTTAAGTGTTGTTATTATATTTTTTCCTAGCCTTTTTTGATCTAACTGAGTGGAAAAGCTTTTTATATTTAAAGTTTTTTTTTATTAGAATCTTTAGGCCTTTTTCTTTCATTTCCATTCTTTAGTATTTTATTTCTTCAATAAAATAGTCTGCAAATTAGGCTATTCGATGCCAACATGATGCGGGGCAAAACGAGACACTCTGTTTGTATTTTTTTTTTTTTTGCCGATATCTAATATTAAGTTTATTTAATTTTTTACATTAAAACAACAAGCAAAGCAAATATTAATATTTAAATGTTGTAGATTTTAATTTATTATACTGTATTTACTTACTTTTTATTTTGTTAATTGAAATATTTAGTTGTTATCCAGTATAGAATTACGTTTTATATTTTGTTAACTTATATTTGAATATAATAAATATTTAATCAAATTGAAGCAAATAATTGCCGAATGTTTATAATTACTATGTTTATATTTTATAATCTTATTGTATTGTAATGTAATAAAGTAAGTAGTATATAAAATATATAGTGAGTAGATTATAACATATAGGTTATTGCAGTACCTATAAACAAAATACAATAAATGTTATGCGTGCTTTAAATACATAAGTTTAATATATGCATGTATGGTTTTATTAGTTCTTGTAGTGGGTATATATATATATATATATATATATATATATATATATATATATATATATATATATATATATATATATATATATAAGTGGAGTCAATGTTCAAAATGCACAACCTGGGCTCATTCGGACTGTTGTTCGTTTCAAAATACTGGTCAACCAATATGTGATTTATGTGACTAGTGACAGTTTGATTATAGCTGTAATATATTATAAAATGTATTTCTTGCCAATCCTCTTAAAAATCTGTTTTGTTTAACTTTATTTATTTAAATTACTAAAAAAAAAATCTGTCTCATTTTGCCCCGGTATGCGAGGCAAAATGAGACAGGATAGGTGCTGTCAATAAATGATCTCTGGTGACCAAACCACTGCAGTTTTGCAACTCATTCTTTTTAAGCTTCAAGTAGAATGGTAGAAGAATTGAAAAATATCAAGTTATTTTTTCAAAAGTTGTTAGACGGGCCGTATTAGATATATTAGCGCTTAAATGTCTCATTTTGCCCCTCGTTACGCTAAGTTTTAGATAAAATCTTGGATTAACAAATTTATCACTTAAAAATTTAGAGGTATGTTTATGAGAAATTTTGGTAATCTAAGAGTAAAAGATATTAGGAGATAAACCACGTTTTGATTTAAACATGAACAGTATAACTTGGTATATATTAAGCTTATAAACATTGAGTGCATTAGTTTCCATTAAAAGAGATTCTTCGTTAACAGTTCTGTTAACGCCAAATATAATCCTGCATGCATTTTTTTTCAGCATAAGTTTTTTTAAGTTTTCCATAATTGCTACTTTCCCATGCAAAATTGCAGTAGGAAAGATTGTATTAGATATGCCAACCATATAGATATTTATAAAGGTTTAACTCTATATAGCACAGAAATACTTTAAATAGATTTAATATGATATCTTTATGGTATATATTCATCTAATATCACTCCAAGAAATTTAACAGTTGGTTTTATTTAATAACTGTATTATTTATAAATAGATTGGGTAATTTTAAAGGAAAGTAACCATTACTAGGTTTGTGGAAAAAAATAATTTTAGATTTCTCTACTTTTTAAATTTAATGAAAGTTTATTACTTTTAATCCACCATAGATATAAAATTATTAAAGATATTAAGATATAAAATTAATTACCCAATTTTGTCGATTATTCCTTCCAGAAATAAAATCTAGATTAACGTTTAGAACAACCTCCATTGAACGTCGAAATTCAAACGTATTTTTGATGTCTGTTAAATCTATTTCAGATTTAGTCTTTTTAAACGTATATAAAGTGTCTAAATTTAGTATAATATATTTTCAATATATATATGTATGTTTTGAGTCGCTCCTGTTACTATTTTATTACAAATAATTGTCTTACTTCATTCCATTCATTATATTGTCTCATTTCATTCCGCTCATTCCATTGTCTTACTTCATTCCGTTCATTTCATTGTCTTAACGATGTAACGAACTACACTTTGAAAACTTGATAAATGTGTAACTAAAAGATTTGAAATGTCTATTAAATGTTTACAAAACTAAAATATGTTTAATAGTCAATATTGTAAACGCTTAATCGACGTTTAATAAACGTAAATTATTAGGTTTGTAATGTACGCTTTCATTATCTTAATGTAAACGTTTATTGAACTTGTACTAAACGTGTAGAAAAATGAATTACGTTAGTAATTTTAAACGTTTAATCGATGTTTAATCAACGTATAGATTAAAAAGCTTGAGGTACTGATCCAAATCTGCCGCCGTTTTTACTAAGTACACCAATATACTAATAAAAAAATAATTTAAGCATTTTAAGTTCTCTAAATTAATATACAATTTCAAAGTACAACGGCTGACAACTTTTGCCTTTGTAAGTATTTTCCAAATATAAAAAAGACTTAATAGTTAGTAACCAGTTGTTTAGTGAAATTTTAATTAACTCCTAATTAATTTTATAAGCAAACAGTCAGTAGCTGTCAACATTAGGAAGTCTTGCTTGAACTATCTTTTGATACTGCAATAAATTATGCGGAGGAATACATAGAAGTCAAGATAATATTTCATGTGAATTTCTCTTTGTTATGTTTTCTAAACCATACAGCGTATAAAAGTTACATGATCATTCAGAACTTTTATCGATTCTTCACTCTTTATATTTTATCTCATGCAGTTAATAAACTACAGCACATAAGTAACAAACAAATATTCATTCACCCGGAACTTGTAAAGAATTACGAACAGCTCACGAATAATTTCAAGAATGATAAAGAAGTGATTAGTGAAACAGCAGAATGAGGTGATGATATGAAACTTCTATTTCATTTAAATCGGGTATTCACTTTTTTTTTGAAGAACCTGGAGTATTTCCTAAAATGAACTTTCAGAAAATATCTAAATTAAATAATGCAATTCCCAACCAATACTAGTTCTTTTGGCACTTATTCTTTTACCAGAGAGAAGAGACTTACTACTCGACATTTGCAGATTCATCTCTTACAGATGGACGGACCATTGGTGACCAAATGATGCAGATGATTATCAAAAGCCATGTAGCAGCTTACACAGTCACGAAAAACATCATTTTTCTGAAATATACAGTAGCTATTCGGACTTGTAGAATTGTTATTTAAGTTTGTAATTTTATATTTATTTGTAATCTAAAGTGTTATAATAAAACAATATACTTTTAAATGCTTAAAAACTACATATTAACTCTCCAATTGAAAAAATTAGAATTAAAAAATAACGATCATAAAGTTGTTTCAAATTTTATCCATACGCATAAATGGATATATTAATGGATAAAATTTCAAATATATATGGTAAATTTTTGGTTTGCGGGTGACCTTTTTTAACAAGAAAATCGAATTAGTGTTTTTATATTACTGTTGTACAAATATTCAACGATTTATGACCCAGGAACATGAGGTCATAAAATTGTGATGCCATGTTGCTGTTTATTGCATTAAGATTAGATACAAAGCCTCTTGTTCGTTTTAGAGTGATCGATGTAATGTATATTGTTTACAAAATAAATTGGTATTTATATATACAGTATTATATGAAAAAATACACAATTGTCATGGAACTTACGGTTTTATGCCTATCGGCAATCATCAACCATATCTATTCTTTAAATTAGAAAAATTTAAAAAATAAAAAAAACAACAACAAAAAACAAGCAATAGTTCTGACGTCATAAAAACAAAAATGGGTTAATCAGCTGTGT